TCTCTGTAATTTAATGCTGTGGGTCATGTATTTTATGTTGTACAAACTACATATTAAGAGTATTGTCATGATGTTTTTTGCCATGCAATTACCTGCTCTTTGTCTAAACTTGCCTATCAAATCAAATCAAATCAAACTTTATTTCTATGGTTTTCCTTGACACTTAGTATTGTTCTTATTCCAGCCCAGCAATTGCTCTTATCCTCTCCTTAAAACACACCCTCAGGCTGCCTAGGTAAGGACTGGCCTGGTCTAGTCCCTAAATCAAACACTTTTCTCTGTCAGTTCAGTTGTACCTCCGTGTAACAATACACAATTACACACTCAGATTGTGATCATTCCCCATGATGTAGTTTGAATGTAGTTGCACTACTTTTTGAAAACTGTTTTACTTTGACAAGGTAAACATTTGCTAGAGACGTTAAGATGTAGGATGTATGGAGTAGCTAGCTTGGTTAACAGTGTTAATTTTGGCAGCCATTTTAGATTTAGTCGTAGTCCTTAAAAAGGCTTAGTTTTAGTCACGTTTTGGTCAATTTTATCCTTCATAGTTTTAGTTTCGTTTTAGTCTACTTTTAGCTCAAAACATTTTAGTCGACAAAAATTCCTGACATTTTAGTTGACTTTTAGTCATTATGTTTCATTATGTTTCTATGTTGTTTTTTTTTATCTTTAAACTAATCCAGTTAGGCTAATTCATGTATCAGAAATTAGAATCAAGGTGACAGGCTATATAAAAATTTCATTTAGACAATTTTTTTCTACAACTACAAATAATACGCACCAGGGGCGATTGCAAGACAACAAGGGAGGCTGAACTTCCCCTAAAATTTCATAGAAGAAATGGTCAAATATGCACTATTGAATTTACATCAAAATAAGAATTTACATTGCATTAAACGTACGCTAGGATGCGTTTAAGATGGGGACAGCCCTCCATTCCGAAACACTGCTGTTCCAACACACCGCCATTCCGAACCACCCCCACTCCGAAACCCCCCCAACTCCGAAACTGATTTTCAAGTCCATATCGAGTTTCCTGCATCAAACACTGCCGTCCGCTCTCCGGGTGCACTCGCACAATTCTGAAATTCGTTGTACTACAAAAGCTTGAAGTGAACGTTCAAATCATTGTTTTTTATTGAAAATATGTCACTGTCTTCATTTATTTATAATTTCGCTAGCAGCAAACACATAAAGGAGACGCTTGTCAAGTCTTTTTACGCGCGCTGTCCGTGGTGCTGAAATCACCACTCCTGGCAGCACTCTCTCTGGTCAGACAGATTAGTGATAATCTGGCTTCTGGTCAGAGTAAATATATTAAATGCATTTATAAAACGGAAAGGTGAAATCAGTCAATCTGATTGTTTCTTAACTGATATAATGAGCATATACCCACGGCTACAATTTTAAAGCCTTATCACAGCATATCACCAGCTAGAAGCAACGATGTAGACCTATCCATGACAACAATAAGCCGAGGGGAGCTGTAGTTGCAAGGGGAGGTTGGTCGGAGCGCATCTGTGATTGAGTATGCGGCTGATTGGAGGCACCTGTTGACGAACTGCAGGCGTTGTCCCCAATATTCAGAATAGCGGGGCCTTTAGAAAAAATGGGAAACCCCACCAATACGAAGAATGGAGGTCTATTTTCGGAAAGGCGGGGTTTCGGAAAGGCGGGGGTCAGCTGTTTATCACCAGTTTTCAAACGCGACCTCCCTCTCATACATTCTCGTGTCAGCAGGGTGGACGCAGAGCCTCCAAGCATTCCTATGAGACAGCGCTGAGCAGGTTTTTTTCATGCAGCAAAGCGAGACGGTCATTGGATAAATGCGACAAAATCGTCACTTCCACGGAGACTTAGCTTCCCTGGGACCTAATGGAGCGATAGGCGGGAGAAGACGCTCGGTGTATGCATGATGAACCCCTTTGTGATTGACAGCGCTTCACATTTCGAGCTCAGTGCCATGCAGATATTTGCAAGTGGAGTCTTCTGACAGAGTGCCGTCCGGAGTTCCTTATTTCCATAAGCTCATTTTCACCGTTTGTACAGTAAAGTTCAGGTGTTTGAACCCATCTGAAAATCTTTGAGGTGTGTTTTGCTGTGGTTCTATGGCATGAGTGTGGTTGAAAAACAGCTTCAATTAAATGTTCCTTTTCTAAGTTACTGCCTCACTACAATATGACAAATTTTATGATGCAAACTTGAAGTGAGTTTCCCCTGTTTGAAAGACCAGCAGCCGCCACTGCTATGCACTTACAAACTATAATTTCTTCAGCAGTTTCTGACAGGTTTAAGGGCTAATTTATGAGTGCACACTTAGTGATCATCATTCGAAAAGCTCAATATCTCTCTGTTTATTCTCTCAAAAACTTTGACAACACAAATAGCTAATCTGAGACAACAAGGATTTGTACCCAGGTTCATTGTAAACTCTGAGTTATTGATCTCACTGTTATGAAGCAGGAAAATAACTTCATTAAAGCCTGAGTTCTTTGTTAATCTGCAACATGTTAGTCTGGAGGTTAAAATTTGTTTCCTCTCACAGAGTTCGTAATTAAAACTAAACTTTCAGCTCAGTCAGAAAAAACTCTGCTGAGTTCAGACTGTTTACTTGCAACACAGCTACACTCATACATTTACGGATAGCTGAGCCTCCTACCTGCCTGTCAAACCACATCAACCCATAAACCTTCTCCAATCTGGACTGAGTGGAGTCCTGTGGACGTTCAGCTGTGAAGTCTGATGGCCGGTGGCTGCTTGCATCACTGTCACTGTCATTCAGCGGCAAGTGAAACATCCTGGCACTATGATCTGACTATGTGCTGGAGTTTTCCTGCCTGTCATTCATGTGGCATTTGAAGATAATTATAGGCATGGCTGTTCTTGGCTTTCAGTGTTGGATAGTCCACCAATAACATTTTCGCCACGTCTTGTCTGATCAGTAAAATTGAAACTTAGATTTTGTCTAAGTTTTCATTATCAAGATCTATTTATAGCTCATGATCATCTTGTTTCATCATGAGAAAAAGGTTGTTGATAAAAAATTTTCGTCAGTTTTCCTCAATGAAATTAACACCAATGGTGAACTACAGTTTCATGTAGTTTCCCCATAAATGACCATCCATCCACCCTTACCTCTTCCCCGTGTCGACTTTATCACGCCAAAAAAACATGACAATGCGTTCTCCTTTACTTTCAGTAGACAGTCAGAAGTCCTATTGGTGCCAAAGAGTTTTTTTTTTTACTTGAATGTCAACAAATGTCATTTTGGGAGATTTGCTGAAATGACTGATGCTGATGTTTGTGTTGGGCAGTCACTATCTGAAGAGAAAAATGAGGGGGAAAAGTAAATTCATTCTCCAAACTTCCTGCTTCAACTTTGACCTACTATACTTCCCAACATTTGAAGTGCACTCGCTTTTGGTTTTGAGACTGCCAACAGGAGGAAGACAACAGAATCAGTATTGTCCTCATATGTCTAAAGCAACCTATGTTTACTTTTAGCACTTCAATTCAACTCAATTCAATTCAATTCAGGTCAATTAAAAAAAATAAAAATCACATAGAATTGCACAAAGTACAACTCTGGTGAAATGTGATTCCATCAGCTCCTTCAACCTGTGCACTTAATTCAGTCCTTTTTTGCACCCTCTTTCATTGTTGGCTGCTGCTTTATTATTGTTCATGTTTACGGATGGTTGTCCACACATCCCAGCCTCAACAAGGCAACTGTATGGTTGCTTTTCCCAAACAATGGCAGCAATGATCAACAGCAGGAACAGGAGTGCTTCACAATCCTACAGACTCACCAGTCTTTATCCACTATAAAGCAAATGCCTCCCCTCCTTCTCTCACCAGAGTCCTCTGTTCTGTCAGATCAACATATAGAAAAAGAGTCACCTGTTTGAATGGCACTGTCCAGGATTTTGTCAAGTTTCAGTGAATCAAAGGATCTTACAGTTCCTAATATTCAGTCGGAAACTGATGTGGCACAGAGTTTATTCTCTAATGCCTGTACAATGGCTAGCAGGTGCTCATTGTTGTCCATCTTTTGTAGATGTTTACTGAGGTATACATTTGAAAACCTCGACATGGCTAGCTACCAGCTAGTTTGTTAGAAGTTTCCTCAATTAGCTTTAACCATACTGGTGAACAATTATACTTTAAGAGAAAAAAAGCCAATACAGGTCATTTTGGAAGGAAGTGACAGAATGCATATTGACTTTGTTTTAGTGATGTCACCATGTTCCCAGATTTCAGCCATTACCTTGGTGATTGCAGTGTCATCAGAACTAAACAAAATCATGGACAACTCTACAAAAATAAGACCTCAGTTGTAAAAACAAAAAATATCATTTAAATCAAATTACTTGTTTGAAGCTTTGTAAATATCTGTTATCTACACTATGAAAAACTGTGTTTCATTTCAGACTCGTGTAGAAATCAATGTTGCTGTGACCAGCTGTTATAGTACATAACCTGCCAGCTGTATTATCAGTAGACATTAAGATGACTTTTACAGTGCTCTCACCTCATTGTGTTCATCTGGTCACAGTTTGTCTCTGCTCTGTGAGCTGCTCTGTTAGAAACAGCTTGCTCAGCTTCCTGGAGCATATAACTAATATTTAACAGCAGCATGACTGTTGCACACATACCCCCTTACTGACAACACACTATGAGACAATTCAGACTAATTATTTCTGACTGATAGAACACCTGCAACTGTGACGGCAGTACACAGAAAGTAGTATATAAAGAGAATCGATGTTTCCACTTACAAGAACCCCAAACTCCAGCTCATTGTCCTCTGCTGCAGCTCAGGTTCCAAATCTGCTTCCAGGCTTCAAGGTAGATGTTTTGTTCTTTTTGCTCCGAGCTCTACCTGCTGCTTGCTGTGCTTGTGGAACATCCAGTCCCTCTACCACATTTTTTCCTTCTTTCAACCCCTCCCCCTCATATCTGCTTTCTTTCTCTAATGTATTTGTCTGATGTCACAGCTCACCAGAGATGAGAGAAGTGACAATGAAGAAGAAGAGGAAGAGAGCAGCCTAGCAGAGGACGAAAGTGAGGAAGAGCACAAGCTTGGCAATGGTTTGGCAGTTGGTGAGGAGGACAAGAACGGCAGCTTTGCTGCTTATCTCCACCAGAGAACATCTGCCAATCAAAGAGTGTGCGTTGACTCATGCTCAGTATGATCAGTGGAGCCGAAGATGTGAGAAATAGGACAATGGTAAATACATGAAATCTTATTTGACAGAAAAATGAGCTAAATGTGATTTATTTCTTCAGATGCTGGAACACAGTCATCGCTTTGAACTACACACATGTACAGTGACAGGGACTTTGAGATGTTTCTGGCTCTTTCCCTGCTCCTCCCAACAGTGTTGTCAGTAGCAGTGCTTCATTGCCCTGCAAGTCAAAAGAGACCAGCAAACCAGATAAGCAAACTAAGCACAATCCTGACTGTGTGCTCACCATTTAATTTGTTCTTTACTGTTTGTGCAGTGCAGAGCTGGTATGCTAGAGAACATTCCTTTAGCTGCTTCACCTCACTGTTTCATCCATCAAGTCCTGCTGGCTTTTTTATTTAAAACCTCTGTTGGCTTGCACCACTTACTGATGGTCACACCTCACCTTCATGCACAACTGGAACTCTTTGCACAGTATGGTGTATAATGGTCTGTGTTTAAAACTACACTGACCAACCTTTATTGAAAAAAATCACACCTCATTATTTAAAAGAAACAAAATGGAGAAACATTGTAACATCACAATGCACACATTTGTATGGTGTCTTCTAATTATTCCCATGAATAAGTGGACAAATAGGCAAAATGTGATGCTTTGATCCATTAAAACACTGAGTTTGATTAAACATTTTCATCCACCCAAAGCATTCATTTGGGATCAATTCATTGTAGTCAGGGGAGAAAATTAATATATTTTCATGTCTTTGTGTCCAGCACAGAGATGAACTCTACTGTAATTTCATAGCAGTGTAGCTGTAAGGGTCAGTGTGATATACACCGATCAGCCAAAACATTAAACCACTGGCGGGTGAAGGGATGGATGGGACACAAGACCTCTGGGCGCCCCCTGTGGAGTCAGGCACAGGGGCATTAACAGTGGATCCTTTTAGTCTTGTGGGTTGTAATGTGGGGTACCAAGACGTTCCATGGATGCTTAATCAGATTGGTATCAGGGGAATTTCGAGGCCAGATCGACACCTTGAGCTCTTTGTCATGCTCCTTGGGCCATATCTAAACAGTTTTTCTGGTGTGGCATAGCAAGTTGTCCTGCTGGAGGGCCGCTGTCTCTGGGGAGTGCTTTTGCAATGAGGGGGTGTACTTGGTCTGCAACAGTGGTGGATAGTGTTTGTCAGGTGGCACCCACATGAGTGCCAGGACCCAAGGTTTCCCAGCAAAACATTGCATTGTAACAAGATGATCAATGTTATTCACTTTACCTGTCAGTGGTTTTAATGTTTTGGCTGATGGGTGTAGATTTTGTCATCTCTTCATTTCTGCAAAGGCCTCACTGCCCAAAATGTATGACCACTTGGACTGTATGCATCAACTGCTAATGGGTGGAACATGTGGGAGTATACAGATGCTAGGGGTAGTATAAACAGAACTTCATTCGCTGTCTGTTCTACTGACTTAAGTGTTAGGGTACCCCTTCTTCGCCAAATCGACTCAGGGAGGAGGTCGGGGTTAATGGTTTCATCAAAAAACATAAGAAAGTCAATTTAACCAAAATTATAATCTTTCCTTAAATCAAACCTTACCAACAGCAGATATATTGTTCAGCAGTCATTTGTAATGGTTTTTGAAGGTGCCAAGAAATGCTTGCTGATGGGGGGGTCAGATCAGAATGCACTTCAATGTGTTGTTCTTGAGAGCATCTACAAACTATATATTTTGTTGTTTCATTTGGCATACTTGTTGGACGACTTCTGTGCTGGCTGAACATCACAGAAATATCCTCCTAAGACCCTGTGTCTTCATATGAGGGCATGACATTTTGGGTGTACTTGCCCTTATACTTCACACTTTTTTGTGCCATCTAGTGATAGTAAGAGCACAATACACTAATCCATGTAAAAACAAGATGGCAGCCAACTCTACCAAGTCAGTTTACAGTTGATCCCGACACAAAGTGTACAAGGTCCAAACCTGATCACATTTTATTGTTGAAATTTGTTTAGTTATGATTAATAATGACTCCAGTTTGATATAGAAACAAATTTGACCAATTTTAGCAACAGTAACAAGATAAAACACTTGGATTAGGAAGACACTGGGACTTTATTATTGTCTTGTTTGAGGACATTGGGACTTTATTGTTATCTAGCTTAAGGACATTGGGACTTTGTTGTCTTGTTTGAGGACAATGGGACTTAATTATCATTGACAATGTTTAGTTTTTATACTTATTGACTCCTACTGATTCAAAATAGCTAGGAGAGATCAAAAAAGCATACCAAACAAAGGTTCGGGTCTCAGGAGGTTCAAATAACAAATGTTTGATGTTTTACAGCACATACTGTATATCAGCATACTCTTTATTCTTGCCTAAAATCACTAATACTGTGCCAAAGACTTAAATGAAGTATTTGTTATTGCTTTGCATACTTTTCTGGAGAACAGGAAGGAAAAATGGCCATAGACATATTGGAAATTGTGCATAGAATTATGTGTGTTGTCGGTTAAGTCACTAGGAGTCATGTGCACATTAACATTAACATTTAAAGTTAAGTTAAATTTAAAAAAAAAAAAAAAAAGTTGTTGTGTTATGGGAAATGTATTCATTCTTGCTTTTTCATTCAAATGTTTGTTTTAATCCATAGCAAATTTGGTCCTGTCAGATCCAGCATGTTGACTGAATTGTCACAATTTTGACTACTCATTGTTCTCATGGGATATCTGTCCTCTTGGGTTGTAATTCCACTGATTCCCACAGGGTGGTGGTCATCACCCTGCTGTGTTCTGTCTTATGAATCACAATCAGGCAGCTGATCACATGTACAACAGAAAAAAGAAAACAATATCTGACTGGCTTGGATGTTAATGTCCTCTTCATGACTGAGTGAGTGTGATTACAAATACATCTTTGAAAATGTTAGAATAGTGCTTTATGTAAGTGTAACAATTACCAAATGTGACACAGTCAAGCCTGCATCAGCAGGCAGATGTAAACCAATGGAGAAACCACCCCTTCAATTTCATATCTTATAATCTCCCAAGACATTAATATGATTATTATAATTAAGGTAAACTGGACATGTGATTTTGCAGTGAGTGAAATTAATGGACCATAAAAACAAGTGAACTGATCTTTAACAAACCAGAGGTAGAAACTCAATGTTAGAGGCTGAGATATACTTACTAGTACATTAGTGCCTTTTGTTAGAGCCTTCCTGATTGGATCCTCATCTGGCAAACTCGACATCTGAAGTTTCTAACGCAGGTTTCCTGTTATAAATAAGCCCAAGCTCCCCCAGAACCACAGAGGACATTGTTGAACTGCTGTCATAGGATGGCTGAATAGCACTAATCATGGCAAATGAACTGATCTTCATGTGTGATCTGTTTGCATTTAACAGATTAATTTAGGGTATATTTAAGTGGTCGGGCCTTACACTTGAAAGGGAAGGTGAGATGTGACATGAAGCAGTTTAAGAGCTAAACTCTGTATTAAGTTTTGAGTACACAGAACATTAACATGGCATTCCTCTGAGCAGAGAACTGAAGGCATTGCTTGTGTTAATAAGCACAATATAGTATACACTCACTAAAAGTATGATTACACTGTTTTGCTTTTTACAACCCCTTAGTTCCCAAAAAGTTGGGAGGCTGTGTAAAACATAAATAAAAACAGAGTTCAATGATTTGTAATTCCTCTCTGACCTATATTCAATTGAAGACAGTACAGAGACAAGATATTTAATGTTCAAACTAATAAACTTTATTATTTATTTATTTTTTTAATAAATGTGCAGTGTTGGAAAGATAACTTTTGAAATGTAATAGCTGACAGACTAGTAGCTACCCTCTTAAAAATATAATAAGTAATTTAACTATTTAATTACTTACTTCATCAAAGTAATGTATCTTATTACAATTGATTACTTTTTGATAGCTTTTCTAACAAATGTTTTAAACTAGGCAATAACGCTGAAAAGTCCTAAAATTATTACTGCATAAATGTTGCTCTCAAACTTTTGCTGATCTGTGTTATGCAGAATTATGCCAAAAAAGGCATTCCTGCATGACACAAAGAAGCACCAAAATAAATGCTATAATCTGCATATGAACTTTTTACCAAAAAGAATATTTTTGGATGTAGCCCGTTTGTCATCACCAACATTCTGATTAGTAACTTTTTCTTTCTAAGTTTAACTGATTAGAATTACATTCATTTTGTAATTTAATTACAAAACTCTGTTACATGTAACAAGTTACTTCCTAACACTGAATATACGCTCATTTGGAATTCGTTCATAACACTCAATACATTTCCAATAGGAGACAGGTCTGGATTGCAGACAGGTCAGTCTGGTACCTGCACTCTTTTACTACAATGCCATGCTGTTGGAACATGTGCAGAATGTGTCTTATTGTCTTACTGGAACTTCGCCTGGAGGACACAACATCCATGATTTCCAAGGACAGTTTGAAATGTGGACTCGTCAGACCACAGCACTCTTTGTGTCAGTCCATCTCAGATGAGCTCAGGCTCTCAGAATTTATTTCCAGATGTTGATATATGGCTTTCACTTTGCTAGAGTCTGAACATTTATAGATGCAGCCATGAACTTTGTTTATTGACAAAGGTTTTCCACAGTGTTCCTGAGCCCATGTAGTAATCTCCTTTATACAGTCATGTTGGTTTTTAATGGAGTGCCACCTGAGGGGTCAAAGGTCATGGCCATTCAGTACTGGTTTTCAGCTTTGCCATGTACATGCATAGATTTCTCTGAACCTTTTGATAATATTACAGATTGCAGATGGTGAAATCTTAAATATGTTGCAACTGTTCTTTGAGAAATGTTGTTCTTATACTAATGGACTATTTGCCCACACAGTTTTTCACAATGTGACAATCCTTGCTTGTGAACAGCTGAGCCTTTCAAGGATGCCCCTTTCATACCCACTTATGATACTATCACCTGTTACCCGTTTACCTGTGGAATGTTTTTTGAGCCTTTCCAGTATTTTCTTGTCCCTGCACCAGCTTTTGTGAAATGTGTTGCAAGCATCAAATTTAGAATAAGTGTATGTTTACAAAAAAAAATAAAGTTTATCAGTTTGTACATTAAATACCTTGTCTTTGTATTGCACTGAACAGAAGGTTCAAACAAATTTGCAAATCATTGCATTCTCTTTTATTTATGTTTTAGCATTCCAGCTTTTTTGGAAACTAAAAATGCTGCAAAAAGATATCAGTTTCAATGCGTGGAATAACAACGGAGGAACTTTGATTTCTCTCTGAGGAATGTGCATGTCACACAGGGAGTCCCTGTAAGGTATCAGCTGCTGCTGCTGTTGGCTGACACGAGGGCACAGCTGCTAAAGGTCTTTAGGTCTCTGAAGATCAAATTCATTTTGAATGAGCTTTGAATTGAGGCAAAAACTGAAGGTATATTTATTTCATTGTGTTAAATGGATATACAGTTTGATGTCAAAAAAGCTCAAATATGTAAAACTGAGTTCACAGACACAATGTGCGACCTATATCCACAAGGTGAGCTGACCAGCCTGGCAGACTGGTGATTATAAAGCTCAAAGCAGAACATGGCTGTGCTCTATCAGCTTGGAAAATCACTTCCCCCTGCCTCCACAGAGGGCCATCAAAGATTCCCCCTAAGCACTGTGTTCCCCTCTGACAGGC